AAATAAAAAAAAAAAAAAACCGCCATTACTAAGATAAACTCTCCTTCCTTTTCTACTCCTAATTTGCGTCTATAACAAAATAAATCAAATGTATAAATCTTAACAAAAGAGATGTTATAAGGAAAAAATTACAAATCAAATGTATAAGGAACAATAAACATAAAAAGTAGAATCGAAAAGCAAAACCCAAATAAAAAGAACATTGAATAACCTTCTATAATCTATATCTATCTATCTATATTTTATTATAAAAGTGGAAACCTCAAAAACTAAAAGTTAAATTACTAAAATGCCCTTCTAAATAACCTAAATATTATACATACTAAAAAAATTGTGACGCCTATAAATAAAGCAAGCCAACAATTCATACTCATTCATTAACCGTCACATCCATTCAAGTTAAATATTCCAATCATGGGCGAAGCTGCACTTTGCGGCCAATTGACTACCCATTGTCGGAAAATTACATTGCATATATAGGTAAAATATTAGGTTTTAGAGATACATAACATATATTAAATAACTTTTGTCGAAATTTGTTTTTTACTTATTTCAAATTTGAACACCTTTAAGGAAATTTCTGGCCACTGATTCCAGTGGGAACCGGCAAGATTGTGCGAAAATGCTAAAAGCAAATAGATGCAGTCCAAAGTCAAGCGAAAAGAGATTACCGCCAATTGCCTTAGAAATTGTCAATAGACAGAGAGTGAAAGAAAACTTTTCATTACAGTCGCCCATGTACTGCAATGGTATTTTTAAAATAAAAGTTTCTCAGCATTAAAATGTTTTATTGTGGTTAACATTTGTCTTTCACGAATAAGAAAAAAAAATATTTCTTCAGGAGAAACTTCGTAGGAGCCAAAAAAAAGCTTTTGAAAATCGTTAGATAATCGCCTTATACTTGAAAGGCCAGAGTGTTGGGAAATTGTTCTTTGAAGGATATGATCTCAATTCTCACACAATGCTTAGTCACCGACCAAACAACCTTGGAATAAGAAGATTATAAAGGAAGTCAAAAGACAGAGCTCTAAGGGAAAATAGTTTTTCGCTAAAATTACATAAAAGTTTACTACATGGAAGGAGTTACATGACGTTGGCAAGAATTCTCCTATGTCATAGTACCATTATTTCGAGAGATTGAAATGGTTAATGACGATAAAACAGGTTATATATCTCTCACTTTGACTTACAATTTATTTGTTATTTTCTATCGTTTCGTTTATGAAATACATTTTCTTGTAAATATTTGGGTAGATGATCATGGTCCCATAATATATATCGTGTCTCATTCATATGTTATGATCAGGAATAAGTAAGATAATATAATTAGTTATTCCTTTTGAATGAAATTGGTTTTTGGTATGCATGAAATTATGTGTGTAAGATTATATTTTAAGGTTGCAAGGCATGAATTAGGCTTACATTAATATTTGAAAATACTCATGAAATAAATAAAGAATATATTTAAATACAATATAAAGGTTGGTACGCTTGTATCATGAATTTGAATATCTCATGAGAGAAGCATAATGTATTAACGTTTTATGCATTATGTTTGACAACAGGAAATGTGAATAATCTAAATTTTGGTAATTTTTCTAGATTGTATATTTATATTCAAGTAAGAATATTTATATTATCATCTAAAATTCATTTTTTCTCCCGCATTGATGTGTTTTAGCCAAAAAAATATAAAGTATAACTTTCACATCCAAAGAGGTTGGAAAGATTAAAGGGTTAACTTTAGTAAATAGGAAGAAATCAATTTTACCTTTTGATTTTAGGAATTCTGGATTTTACAAAAAATAACTTATTGAGTTCTGAATAAATTATTTATTCATATTAAGTAAATTTTTAAACACAAATATATGATTTAGGATAAAGCTAATGAGTTCTGCCGAACCCGTAAGCAGAACTATAACCCCGCCCCTAAAAGAATGAAAATAACATATATATACACACCATGAATATCATTTATAAATTTTAGGTAAAATTTGTTTCATTATATGTTTGTACCTAATCAATTAAAACAAGTAAATAAAATCACATGTATCTAACTAAATTTTGATTGTTCATCTTTGTAGGTTCAAATGATATCCAATCATCTTGACCTCGATAAATAAGTTACTATACGACGATCCATATTGTTCATTCACAAAAATTTATACTTTACTCTCTTACGTACAATCAAGCTTCTCTAGAACAACCATCCTGGATAACAACACTTCACTATAACGGTTTGCCTTTGGAACTAAATTTTCGTGTTATGCTCTAACATATGTTTTTTTATATTAGCAACTTTATTATAACGGCTAGATAATATTTAGAAAATTATTTTAATAATATTAATATTATTTTACAAAAACTTTTGCCACATAACTTAGTATACGCACGTGCCGTGGAACTAATACCATTGAAATGGAGGAATATGCCTCGCTCTCAATCAAAGTTAAAAAAAAATTATGTAACGTCTTCTCGTCTTTTTATAATTAAATATACTTCATACATAAAAGTTAATACCGTCCTACAAAATAAAAGAAAAAGCTACAAGAAAAAGATTCTAAAAGACGTTACGTAAGAGCCTAAAATATAAATACTGCAGTTATTATCCACCCTACAAGAATCAGAAATAATATAGAAAAAGAAACTATAAGGAAAAAAATCTTAAAAGACAGTACGTATGAACCTAAAAGGCATCATTCCAACTGCGTGATGGTCCAAGTGGTTCTACCGTCTTCATCGCCTTGTTGCTGTTCTCATCAGAATGTGCTATTTCTATATTTAGATAGCCATCCCACTTTTGAGAGCTTTATTGTCTCGCTTACACCAAAAATTGCACCTTCCAATACAAAGGCAATAGGTGAGCATATACATCTTTGGCCGACTATGATTGTTAAAATTCAGCATCTCCGGTTGATTCTTTGAATTAGAGGTGTGCTAATGATGTAAAAATAGACGTGGAGGTAACGGCAAAAATTGCTGAAGAAGAGAGAATGTGGTTGCATAAGCAGAGTTTACCATTTTCAAGTAATAAATGGAATGGTTTGAAAGTAAGAAAGTTTTAGGATCCTTTTTTTCTTCTTCAAGAGATCGTCACATTCCTTGTTTCTTTTCGTAACCGTACCGTTGCGTTCCTTCACTAAGGTCAACGTAAGTTGTTTAAGGAGTTTCTGTGATGGGATTAACCAAAAAGCAGGAGAAAAAAAAAAAATCAAAAAATGATTTCTAGTTTGTGGAGATGCCACATCACCTAAGTTTGGCCCTGTTTTATACTATAATATAGACTGCTACCAGCTTCTTTAGCATTATGTCCCTTGTAGAACAAAGAATGTGAAAATTTAATCACAATTTTATGTGCTACCATCATTTACTTTGTTTTTGAAGTAATTCTGAGTCTTCATTCCATCCATATCAGAACAATGAGTTTAAAAGGAAAACAGGAACAAGATAAAAATATGCAATTGCGGATCCACAAAGTTGTCCGATTTCAACTTTGCAGAATATATGCAAAAAACATAAGACTATTCAGGAACCAAGGTATAGTTTAAGGCGTTCAATGACTAGGAACTGCCATCACCTTGAGCTTGGCATTTCCATCATTCTCCACGCGATCTAGTGCCCGCTATTCTCACCTAGGACAGAATAAAGGGAAACATACAAATCAGAAACTAAACTCCTTATTTAACAATATGCACATTTAGAGATTATTAGTATTCGATTGTTTGGATGAAACAGATGCTTAAGTGATCGAGCATTTACCTTTCCGCCAAGGTGTTCTTTCACGGATAAGACACTATTTTCTTTTTAATTTTTTTCTGAGACGTTCACTAATAAGACACTATAAAGCCTTCAGTAAAGTCTCCTCTAGAAGAATTTCTGTAATATGCAAATAAAAGCAATTGTACAACTCCTAAAACCATTCCTATGCCATTTGGTACCTGAAATCCAAGTAGAAACCATGCATGAGACAGGCGAGAGAAAAGGTAAAACGTTTGTACTTTTATATAAATAAAAGAGCCTATCACGCCCAGGGTCGCTTTCCTTTTTCCCCTCCTTCTACAATGTAAGTGAGGAGAAAGAAACTCACATATATAAAAGGATCGAAACTGAAAGTTCCATACAAAAAGAAAGAGGCACTCATTAGGAAGGTAGAGAGGGATAGGTAAAACGGCATGAATTCGACGCTCCTGGTCCTGATCACCAGATTCTGGAAGACGAGTTAGTCAGTGAATCAGTGGAAAAAAACAATATAAGATAATAAGAACTTGATATTAATAATCATAGAGAATCTGAACGTCAACGATAATACATACAATAATAAACAGTGGGGAAGCAAACATTGATATGAGGGAAGCACAACTCAGGGAGCCAATAATGATGCGTCGGATTTGAAGGTCAAGTATAAGCAAGCTTCCAATTACAATAATTGAGAATAGGCCAAAGACTGTGAGTATCCATCCCAGCATCCTGAACTACAAACAACATCAATGGGCATATAAATTAAGATGTTAAGATATAAACAAGTGCAACATCTGAAAATCTTGAAAACTGCTTTAAATCAAAATACAAAAGAGGATTCTTAACCTTTTTCTCTTTCTCTATAGACATCACAAAAAGTACAATGTAGGCAAGTTGAAAAACAGCACCAACTGAATTGACGGTTGTAACCAACAAATTGTCAGGAGATATGAGAGGTGTGCCATACCAGGCACAGATCAAGTAGTTCAATAGCCCATATATGTTACTATAGTATGGCAACCCCGAGAACTGTTCGGTCGATTGGTTTCTGATTACTCTCCTGAATGTAGGTCTGAAAATAAACATA